TTTTTTTTTTTTTTTTTTTTTTTGATTCTAGGGTTTTGCTTTCTGAACTGAGTTGTTTTGTTTTTTGGGTTGTTGTTGTTGGGTTAGTTGCTAATGTTGTTTGGTTTTTTGGTTTTGGGTTTTCCTTTGTAGAACAGGAAGTTGATGAGGACCAGAAGCCGCAATCTGGACAAGCTACGAGTTCAAATGCTGTTAGTGAGGGTAAATTTGGTTTTTTTTAGCGATTCTTGTTACGGGTCAGCGTTGGAGTTTGGTTTTATTTGTTTGTGGTTATGGTAGGATTCGATGGAAGTCGAGTTTGGTGGTAGTAGGGAATCTAATGAGAGTGGCTATTGGAACTGATCTATCAGTGTGTTTTCTGGCGATGCTCTTGGGGCGTAATGGTGATCGTTTGGGTGATGTTTTTTAATGATTCTCTGGTGAAAGGAGGGGGAAATATCTTGGTTATGGTCTAGTATGTGTCATTTTTGTTTATTCTTGGAGAAAAGATGAAAATGTTGTTGTCATTACTGGGTTATAGATCTCAACATTGGAAACCTGATGTTTTGGTATGATATAAATGGTGTGCTATGGTGGGATTGCGTTGCAGAATGGCTCTTGGGCGCTATGGAACTCAAATAAAGCTGTGGTGAAATTGCAGCATTTCGCTGCTGTAGCAGGTGTAACTGGGACTGGTTGCTAAATTTCTAATTTAGTCCTGTAGCAGTGACGTCTAGGTAGGGTTTTTTAGGGGGGTAATTTCATGATTTTCCCCTGGCCCCTTCTTTTATTAAATCAGAGGACCCTAGTTTGCCTTGCAAGTTGACAACCGGTTAAGTTCTTTTGCTCCTACTGGCTAGGACATGAGAATTTGAGATCGAATCCAGTTTTTCTCGTGTCTTTTATCCTTCAATGCAGACTTGCATCGATGGGATAAACTATCTGTAAACTCATTGAAAATTCTTAAAAAGATAAGATTTGTGGTTGGCTCTTACCTTACAACATGCCTTACCCTAATCTAAACTATTTGTAACCAGAAAAAGAGGACCCTACTTTTCCTACACTGACTTGTACATATTCTCTGATGATCATTCGCCCCCCTATCTTTGGCAACATTTTCCAGCCATCCCTGACTTCCATAGCAGTTTGGTCCATTTCAATACTTCTGTTCTCTTGAGTCATGAGTTTGCATCCATCCCTGATCTCTTTGGGCATTTTCTATCCATCCTTGTTCTCTCTCCCTAGCTTTTCCCACTCTCTAACTTGTATCTAAAATTTCACAATTGCAGCCCCATTATTTTCTGTCCAGCTATTGAAGTTTTGGGGTCATCCGACCTGCGTTGCTGCAGGATTGATAACTATATTTTAAAACTGACATCAACACATGATTAAAATACTTCTTTCTTATTGATTGGCCACTGAAGGTTTATGTAAGAAAAAAATAAAAGGCACTTATAATTTTGTATGTGAGAGTTATTTAGTTTAGGTAGAGGGCAATTATTGTTTGGTATTATGGTATTATTGGGTAGATATTTCTGCAGTTATTGTAGGCAGTTATTTTTTATATGTGACAGTTATCTTCTAATCTAATATATAATGTAGAGGAAGTCAGATGGGGGAAGGGTAGTTGTTTATCAGTTTTAGTTGAAGGAGGAGACTCTTGTCTGAGGGAAACCCTGTGTTTGTGATTCTGTTAGGGGGAAACCCTTTTGTTTGTGATTGTGTAATTGAATCTGGTCTATAAAACAGATTACATTACTAATGTAATCCATTATTTTGTGTGTTTAAATTCTTGAGTCTAACAATTGGTTAGACCTGCTGGATTCCTTCGATGAGGATGGAGTCAAGAGTGGAAGGATTGGAGAAACAAGTGGAGATATTAAATTAATTAAGAGATGACCAGATCCAATTCTGCCCATCATTGTAGATTGCAAATGATGGGGAATTCTGTGGAGGAGATGAGGAGAGATTTAGATGAGATGAAGAAGATTGATTGTTTGGATGGGATGCAAACCTTGTTGAAGGAATTAGTAAGTTTGAAGGGGTTGGAGATAGTGGGGGGAGATACAGGGAGTTCTAGCCATCTTAAAATTCCTGTACATAAACCAGGGAGATGAAGGTTGAACTACCCAATTTTGTTGAGAATGATCCAATTGGTTGAATTGGCAAGGGCTGATTTTTTTTTTTTTTGAAATTCAGAATATCAAACCAGAAATGAAAATAAGTATACCCTTTGTATGTATGGGGGGTTCTGTGGTACACTGGTTTACATGTTTGAGGAAGAGATTGCCGAATCTGACTTGGGAAGACTTAAAAACCGAGATGCTTAAAAGATTTTCAAGCAATGTTGCAAGGAATGCATATGAACAACTTGCTGCCATGTGTCAAACAAGCTGGGTTGAAGATTATCTGCAGCGTTTTGAGATGGTATTGGCACAACTACCAGAAATTCCAGAGAAGCAGGCTTTGGGTTATTTCATGAATGGTTTGAGTGATGTGATTTAAAGACAGGTGAGAACTCATGATCCGCAGGATGTACCAAGGGTGATTTACCTTGCTTGTTCAATTGAGAATGAATTAAATGGAGACAGCTTGTGATTCGCTCTTTAAAGAAATTCAAAGGGTATTCTTCTGTATGCAAGTCAATCATGTTGTACAGGGACAATTTCAAAACAGTTTAAAAAGTCAACTTTGGGCATGAGAATATGGGGTTTGACCAATCAATATTTCTGAGAATAACCCAGTCAATTTGGGGATGAACCGAAGCCAGGATCCAGAACCTGACCATCTTAAAATTGGCAAAATTCCTTTATTCCAGGTACTACGAACTCTGTTGCTAGCAATGAAACAAATTTACAGTTTAGGAATAGAGGGACAGAATACCTACTTTATGAAGAGTATGTCAAGAGGATAGAAGAGGGACACTGTTTTCAATGTGGCCAACAATTTGGGCCACTCCATGAGTGTCCTAAGAGAAAATTGAGGGTGTTAATTTTGGGAGCAAATAATGATGGGGGAGATGAAGCAGGATTTGATGTGGTTAAATTGGCTCAATGATCAAGTCCAGATAATGATGAACAAAGCTCTTATCAAGTGGGCATTTCATCCCATAGCTGAGGAAACTTGGGTGGATACAGATACTTTCCAGGAACAGTTTCCATAATTTAACCTTGAGGACAAGGTTGCTTCTGTACTGGGAGACATTGACAGGCCACTGAAGGTTTATGTCAGAAAAAAAATAAAGGGCAGTTATAATTGTTTGCCAGTTATTTAGTTTCAGTAGAGGGCAGTTATTGTTTGGTATTATTAGGCAGTTATTTTTTACATGTGACAGTTATCTACTATCTAAGGTATAGGAAGTCAGATAGGGGCATGGTAGTTGTTTATCAGTTTTAGTGGATTAGTGGTAGGAGGAGACTCCTTGTTAGGGGGAAACCCTGTGTTTGTGTTTGTGTATTTGACTCTGGCTTATAAACCAGATTACATTACTAATATAATCCATTATTTCGTGTGTTTAAATTCTTGAGTCTAACAGTTAGATACTAAGTAAGTGATTGCTTTTGTAGGTGTGTCTAATGAATTGAGAGAAGAGAATTTGTTGTCTCATGCTCAGCCACAATCCTCATTTGCATCTTGCTTTGTTAAAAAATTGGAAGATAATGTAAGGTCCTTTGCATATTTGCAAATTACTTAATTTTTTCCTTTCTAACTAGCCTGATATTATCTTGTCTTACTTTAATTTGTGAAGCAGACTAATTGTATAGCTAATGATGCATTTAGAAAGGAGATGTCACATTTCAACCAGAAAATACAAGACAATGGAGAGCATAGAAGAAGAAAGAAACTTCGATCATCATCAAGGCAATCACAGTTTAAATGTCCTAGTAAACTTTCCAAACGTGATACTTTTAGTGATGGTAAAGGTTGCAGGGCAACTTCCACTTTCTCTCTGCGGAATATTGGGAGAAATCTGTCAAGATGCTACCCAAAAGTGTAAGAGAAATTGTCTTATGGTTTTTCATTCCAATACAATTTAGAACGACAACATTGTTGTGTGATTTTGGTCTTGATGTATTTATTTACCTCATTTAGTGACTTTGCCATTGTTGGTTAACCTGAAATGTATATTTTGCCTTCCATAAAACCAATGTACTGCATTTTTGACTGTATGGCAATTAGATTTACCCAGGGGTATTCATTGGTTCGTCAGGTTGTGTATACTTTTATATTTGGTGTGCTGTCTATGGGTATTCAACGGTACACATTAAAGGCACAAAGGGGTAGTTATCTTCTTACCTTATTTTTCACTCCCCAACCTTTTTTTTAATAAAAGATAGAAATTTCCCCACCTAAATCCAATGAAATTTCCATGGTATTTTGATTGGGCATTTGGATTATAATTCGTTAATATAACTTCTTAGGGGTTGAGAGGAATTCTCTCGTGCTATTCCATGTATTCCAAAGATTTCACGTGTCATATTGGACACCTGGAGATGATTTATGAATATCTATGTGTGCTATTTTGCTGCCTCAGAAAGGGATAGGCAAAGATAAATTTTCATGTATGATGTTTTATGCTTAAATTAGTATGACTGATTTTCACAATAAGATATTCATGTTAACTGTTCTATTATGTTTCGCTCCTGTTGTATTATGTTTGTGTTCAAAGCTCATCACATCGTCATCATGTGCTACAGAAAATTATTCAAATGATTTCCTCTTCTGCACCCTTTTCTACTTATGCTGAAGATGGTGGCAGATATGGCTTGTTAGTTTTGGCTCTTGCTAGGTTTTTTAACGTATAAATTCATAATGTTGGGTTCTTATTTTCTTTGTTATCCACATGGTAGGAAGGATGCTTCTCATGCAATTCAATTAGATGGCTCAAGGTCCAGGAAGGTGTGTTTATATTTTCTTATTTATCCATTCTATCTGCTGTTAGCATATGACATCTGGCTGTTGTAGTTTTTAGTTATAATAGTCCCAAATCCCAATTTAATCAGTAGATTGTTGATGATCTGACACCTTTAGCTTCTGAGCACTCAAGTGATGCCACTACATATAACATGTTTTAAACAGGGTCATCACATTGTTCTTGATGACGATGACGATGACGATGAAGCTCGTATTGTGGAGAAAACAGAAAACAAATTTGCTGAATAGTAAGTGAGTTTGATTGTTTTTATTTTTATTTTTAATTTTTTTTTTATCTTTTGCAATCCAATAAGCCCATAAAAGCCTTTGTACTATTTGATTTGCGTCTGTCTCTTTTCAGCCTGAAAGAAGCTAAGATCTATTTTCCGTCAAGGTACTTCTGAATAATAATACAATAATGTCGCCATTCAACTATAATTTTCTGTTATTTACGTTGCATGACATGTTAAATTTCCTTTGTGACGACTCAGAGATGATCCAGAGTGTGTTGAAATTTGTTACAAAGACAAAGATTGCCTTGCCCCGCAAGGTTATTTAACATCAACTATTATGAACTTCTACATTCAGTAAGTCTATTTAGTCATCTCTACTTTTCTTTCTTATTATATTTAATTATATATTTAATTTGTAGGCTAGGGAATATAGATGGAAATAATGTAAATCAATGCATGCTTGATTGATAGGACATTGAAGAGGATTGAGCTTTTTCAGTTTTTTCTTAAAAAAAATTATAGGGATTGAGACTATAAGTTTATTTTATAATTTCTGCTTAAGTTATTTAGTCCCTTAATGTTTTAATTTTGAAATCACCCATTTTGGTCCTCTAAAGAGATAAGCAACTTTACATGTCCTTTATTTATTGAGGACACTAATTTGGACTTTTGATGATTAATGGCATAAGTATTGTCCTTCAAGGTCCAACTTGATGAGAAGTTTAAGTAAAAGATAATTAGTAAATAAGATTCTTTTGCTAGAATTACAATTATTGGTTAATTGGTTTCGTAGTGTGTCCTCCCATCTGGTAGTGGTACTGGTTGGTGGGAGAGGCTACTTTCCTGGGCTGTTGGTAGGAGTAGGTGGCAAAGGACCCTTCTTAATAGTGTTTTTTCTGCACAGCCACTGATAAATCTTCGAATCAAACCCTCCACATGCTTTTGAACCCATTCCTCTCAGATCAACTCATGTTGGTAGAATTGCAATTTATTAATATTAAGTAATAAAATTTTATTAGCTCAAATATGTTTTTAATCCTTGCAATGGGTATTTTAAGGATTTATTTTATAGGGACTAAAAGCATTTTTTAATTTTTTTTTTAAAAACTATTATTCTTTTTATTTACTTTTTTCATTTTTAATTAATATTATTATTCAATTCTATTATTCTTTGTTTTGATTCTGTTTTTTTCAATTTTCTAGTTCTGTTTTCTTAATATTTTTCATTTTTAATTAATATTTTCTAGTTCTGTTTTCTTAATTCTATTATCTTTTCAATTTTTTTTTGAATTCTGTTATATTTTTTATTATATTTTCTAATTATACTATTTTATTTTGTTGCTTTCTAAACTATGGTTCTTTTTAAATTCCGTTTTTAATCTCAGTTATTTTTTTTAAATTCTTTTATATTATATAGCTAATATTTTAGCCTGTGCAATGCACATGTATGTTTATTATATATAATATATAATATAATTAAAATTTATAATAAATTATATATAAAAAATACTATATTTGAATATATAAATTATATTTAAAATAAGTATACATAAATATTTTTAAACGTATAAATTATATGTTAGATTTATAATAAATAATTTGTATTGTAAAAAAATGTTTTTTTATATATTGATAATTTATTTTAAATATTAATATTGAATTAATAAATAATTATGATAAATAAAAATCGAATTAGATAAGAAATTAAAAAAATCCATACAAAACCTCTCATTGAAGAAAAGGTCTTAAATAGAAGTATATGTTTAATATATAGGGGTTGATTCTTTTTATAATTTTTGTCATTTTTTAATTCAGTTATTTTTTAAAATGCATTTTTAATTTTTAATGTTTTTTAAATCTTATATCTTTAATTATGTTTTCTAATATTTAATTGTTATTTAATATATTTAGGTTTTTGTATATTTTTATTTTGTTCACCATGCATATGCCACATACTGCACTGCTATCCTCCCTATTTATATTGTGGAATTTTGGCTGGTTTGCAATTCTCCCTAATCAGCCATCGATCCATCCGTGTATTTATTATATAAACAGAGGGGGAGGGTGTGTGTGTGTATTCATTAGCTTTTAATGTCAAGTAAACTGGTGCTTCCTTGTCTGTATAGTTGAGTTTAAAGCCAAGCTCGAGGCTGGTTGTTTAGTAAAACCAATGAGTTTGCTTAAGCATCTAAGGAATCAAGCTTGAATGTTCCATGAATAGATTAATTCTTTTACACCCATACCTGTTACTACTCACTTTGGTTTCATTAGCTTTTATTACCTATTAAACTGATTATGTTTATCTTTTATCACTTTTTTTGTCCCATTAGGATTAATTATGATGAAAACTTGAATTATACTGCAACAGAGTAATAGTCCTTGGACATATTTTCCATTTAGTTTCTGAACTTCTACTTATGCCTTTTAATTGGCTAGATATTTGCAGCAGCAAGCATTGTTGACAAATAGATCGTTATCCGATTACCATTTTTTCAATACATATTTCTACAAGAAGCTTAAAGAAGCAGTTTCCTACAAGGTGCTTAATTTTCTTCCTGCTAATTCATACATATATTTATGTGCACGAACAGAGATTATTTTCCTCTGTAAGCAGACTCTTAATCATATATTTATTATTTCTATGTATTAAAATAGTTCCAGCAAAAAAATAATAAAAATTTGAAAATAGGTAATCATATAGAGTAATTTCAAAAATTAAGGGTAAAATTGTCTAGTCAAAAGTGAAACCAAAAATGCAGTTAGTGAAGCATAAACAACCGTAGTAGTAATGTAATTTCACCCCACTGTCTGTGACCTAAGCGTGATGTGAACCCGCACTAGGAGTGATTACCTATTTTCAATTTGGTAATAGATATAGATATAGATATTTATGTGCACGAACAGAGATTATTTTCCTCAGTAAGCAGACTCTTAATCATATATTTACTATTTCTATGTATTGTTCCAGCAAAAAACATTTAAATTTGGAAATAGTTAATCATATAGAGTAATTTAACAAATTAAGGGTAAAATTGTCCAGTAAAAAGTTAAATAAAAAAATGCAGTTACTGAAGTGTATCCCTTTTAAAATAGGTATAGAGGTATAGATGATATAATGCATCATTGACTGTTCTATTGAAAATATTGCAAAAGGTTTGCTGCTTGACTGGAACTACTGGTTAATCAGTTATTGGTACTTTTTTTGTTTATTAAATATGAGTTTTACACTTTTACTTGATAGTTTTGAAAGTAACTGATCAACATAAATGTGAATTGCTGACCCAATAATGCTCCTTGGGCAATTGAAACTAGTAATTTATACTTAAGTGTAATCCTTTTGTAGTTTGCTAGCAACTCTCCTCATGTTGCTTTTTTTGTGCTGTAGGCAGGGTTGTCAAACGCATAGGGTCCATGCAAAGTTGTGGAGTGTTTGTAGAATTGACTCAAACTCTTAAGAGTTTACCTATTACACAAATAATGTTAAAAACCTAGTTGTAGTATCCAAACATAAATATAATGCCATAAAATAATGAATATTCAACTTTATTATTATAGAATTGCTAGCGTGCCCCTTTCAAGAAGGGGATGTGAGCACTTCCCTCACAAGGGGATGGGATTCATTCACTTGCATTCGGCATTCATACAATCCTACAAAAAGCTTTTGTCTTAATACCCCTACTACTGTTGCGCTGCCTTTCCTTGCTTTGTAGTGTCGGGTTTCCTATTTATTCATGATGGAAAAGCCCACTAGACTACACAGGCATCTATGGGTCATAAAGCACTTTTCGCACAACAAAATCACTTTGAAGTTGACTTATTTGCACATTCAATCGTTTCAATGTATATGATATACCATTAGGTCCCAATATCTCAATAGCACCTTGATTTAAAGCTTCGTATGACTTAATATTCGAAATGCAGGAACAATCTGACTAGAAAGTCATTCAAATTGATACCTTTTTTGCACACCAGTGCGCAGCCATCACATGTCATTGCAAGCTTGTTGATGGCTTGTTACACATTAGTTAGGATGGTCAAAGTCTCATCATCAAACTTGTCATGGTCTTGGTGGCCTGGAGCTGTCTTAGAATTGTTGGTGGAGGCAAATAGGAGAAAAATGGAAAAAAAAAAATCATGAATGGGAATGGTGTCATTTTGGCATTTTGGGATGGAAATTTAAGCTTTTAGCATGACTCATTCACTTGGGCTCAGACATGCAATTTTGTTCAAAAGTCTGACAGTTTGCTCAAGTTCAACCTAGTCTACAAAAAAATGATTATCTGCTCTTTTTACCTTTGAAATTGTTCGTGTTACGAGTCAATTTGTGAGTTTGGCAACCATGGCTATAGGCAAGGTTGTCAGACTTGAGAGTTTTTGTAAATTCATGGAGGCTTTGGAAACCCGACTTGTAAACTCGTAAGAGTTTACTTGATAAAATATATTAAAAATACCTATAAATAACATAATAACTTAACATTTCAACTCCATATTAAAGCATAATAGCTAATTACAATAATAAAGTAGCAAAGTTTAGTAATGATTTACTACTTCATTAGATTAAACCACACCTAATCATGCATAAATTCATACAAAACACAAGTTCTTAAAATGACAACATTTAAAAAATAAAAAAAGATTAATGTCTTTAAATCTCCATGTCTAATGACCTTAGAACCACGACAAACGACACCATGAGAACGATCTTGGAACCATAACAAAGCAGCAACAAAGAACCAACAGAGAACCTTGATGAGATTTGACGTCGACAAGCACAACCACAAACACATAGATGGCACATGACAAGAGCTTACAACCTAGGCATTTTGGGTTCAGAACTTCAGATTGTGGGAGAAACACAGATCACCCTCGTAATCCTAATTTCTGATGGAGAAAAAAACTTCATCACAAAATGCCTGTTTTTGTGTTGTTTTGGGGGCTATTTTAGTCACCTATGTAGACATGTTGAATTGCATCTAAACCTGCTATTGTGTCCGATTCTTCTCAAGTTTGCATGTTTTCACTCCAAAACAAGTTTGTAACCGAGTCAAACAGGTTGGGGTTCCTGAACTTGTAATCTCGATATTTTTTACGAGTTAAAACTTGATTTTGACAATCATGGCTGTAGGTACATCGGACAACTTCCCTTTTTATAGATTGAGGCATGTGAAATTGTGTGTAAAAGAAAAGTATTCTGAAAGCATAAAGTGGGATAATACATAGTTATAAAAGTGATGAATGGAAAATAGATGGTTCAGTGAGAGGTTTTGTTAAAAATTAGTAGGAAATGGAAAGGTAAAATATATTGCTTTAAAATATTTTACAGATTTAAAAGGAAAAAAATTAATCTATAGGACCTTGACTTATTTGGGTTTTTTCAATAAGTCCTTGTACTTTGAAGATTTATAATAGGTCCCTGAACTTTTAAATAATTTTTAATCGGGTTTGTCGTCATATTTCCATTTGGGTTCTGTTAAGTATATGGATCTAATTGAAAATTTTCAGATAGTTTAGGGACCAAGTAATTAGTTTAATTGATAAGTAGGTTCCTAACTATTTTTTTTTTTAATTTGGTCCCTGTACTCAACAGAACCCTAAAGGAAATGTGGCGAGGGACCCAATTAAAAATGATTCAGGGACCTACAGATTAATTTAAGTAATTTGAAATAATGAACATTTGAATAGACATGAGGATATTATTTTTTGGGTCAGAAAATAATATGATAATCTGTTATGATGATTCTCTGTTTGTAATAAAGATGCTCTTGTTCTTTTCAAAAAAAAAAATAATAATAATAATAATAAAATAAAGATGCTATTGTTGTTAAAGTTAATTTTTATCTTTGCCTTCTTCACATTCCCCTCACTTTTTACGTCTTTCTGTATATTCTCTAATTATTTGTTGCAATATCTAGCAAAGTGATAGAGAGATGATCTTTGCAAAGTTCAGAAGATGGTGGAAGGGTGTAAATATTTTTCAGAAGGCATATGTTCTGATTCCGATACACGAGGAGTAAGATTTCTTGTTAGCATTGCACTTTTGTTTATAAATGTGAGAAGTTCTTTTTGTGCTTTGCTTTGAATTACACGTTATTATCTGAACTACTGTTCACACGACAAAAAGGCCTTTGTTGTGAAGAATCTTTTATCAATGTTTAGATATGTAAGCTATAATGTTACTTCTTTAGTTTATATTTTGACTTCTAATACAATTTGATAAAATGAAATAATGAGCTTCATTTGATTAGAAGTGAGCATGCTACTAATGGAAATCCACAAGTGAAACATCCGATCCTTATTGTGCATTTACATTCCTACTGCATTGTAATCGCTAGTCATATAAAATGTCCATTCATGTATTTTGGAAAAACTTGGGCTCCCTAACCCCCCGCACCCCTCCCCCCAAAAAAAGAGAGTAAATAAGTACACTTTACGGTCACAAGTTACTATTAATAAGAGTGCTACTTCCTATCGTCATGAATGTTTATTGTAAGTACACAAACAAACTATATATATACATGGTTCATATAAATTTTTGAACTTATTCACACCTATTTCATACACAATCCTTCAAGAATATATTGAAGTTGGGACCTCCTTAGAAAGAACTTTCTCTTGATGACTATCAATTTCAATGTATTTAGTTCTTCCATGAAACATTGGATTGAAAGCTATATGGTCAGGATCAGTTAACACCATGATGTTAAATTAGTGAAATAATATCTTCAATAATTTTTTATAGAATGCAAATTTAATCAATCTATCTGTTGTATTTGATGATATTACTAATTAGATCAAAAATATAAAATAGCATACAATTCTAAAATTATTTGGTAGTTCATCATAAATTTTTATTTTAATGTATAAAATGACAATCAAAATACATGTAAATATCCATTGTATTTTACTAATTTGACAATATAGTGTCAATAGATCTTGATCCATATACATACATACATATATATATATATATATTTATATATAAAACAAAAAAGAAAAAAAAGAAAAAAAAAAGATTACAAAACAGAATATAAACTTAAATAGTTAAATATCAAAACAACACTTTCATAATTCATTAAAGTCTCATAAACATAATTGATTAAAACACTTAACAAAAAAAGACAACAAGACACATTACTAATCTAATTTTAATCATCCTCATAATTTTCCTTAATGTAATCATTCTTCTTATTGAAAGTTAAAGTGGCATCTCCTTCTGAATTGTCAAAATTAATATTTGGCAAGTCTTCCTCTAATTCCTCATTGAAGTCTTATGAATCTTCTTCAACTTGAATCATTTTTCCTTTCCTAGTTGAAGAAAGCTCTCCTTTGCCTCTTTTAGAAGCTCTTTGAAATGATGCTCCTTCACTTGCTGGTTGTTTCCTTTTGTTACACTTAGTATTCATTATAGGCTCTTCTACCTCTGAAACCCTATAAACATCTCCCCAAGTAAATCTCCTTCAAAATCCCTCACATCTTGAGCTTCATCATCATACCCATCCATCTTTCCAACTAGCCACCCCTTACAGTCATCAATATCATTAAGAGTAAGTAATGGGATCAACTTCATACTTATGGTTGTATTTTTGCTTGTGTGCTTGATTATCTTGACACAGACCAAGTCATGTAGTCTTTTATGCTCAGGCTTATTTTTCCTCTTAGTATGAATCTACAACATTAAGTTAAATAATTAAGGAATAATTATAAGAAAGAATTGGAATTGATTAAAGTCATGTAGTCTTTTATGCTCAGGCTTATTTTTCCTCTTAGTATGGATCTACAACATTAAGTTAAATAATTAAGGAATAATTATAAGAAAGAATTGGAATTGATTAAAGTCATGTAGTCTTTTATGCTCAGGCTTTTTTTTCCTTTTAGTATGGATCTATAACATTAAGTTAAATAATTAAGGAATAATTATAAGAAAGAATTGGAATTGATTATTGACTCTTAAAAAGCCAATTAAATACTTGCTCAAAGATGCTCCAGTTACATTCATAACTAGATGCACAACTCAAGCCTAAGGTCTTTTTAGCTAGGTTTTGTAAGTTGGGAGTTGATGAACCATTTAGTTTCTACCATTGAACTAGAAAGCCAAAGAAAGTGTGTTAAACACTTAACCAAATGACTTAAAGAATAAATGTTTAAAAGTTTTATAGGTTTTGTTTCTTACCTGGTGAAACCACAGAACAAAATAGATGCAGAAGAAACAGAATAATAAAAGATGAGGAATAGATGAAGACAAAAAACATGGAAGAAAAACCTGCTTTGTTTCACAAAGTTCAGGCCAGGTCACTGGCCAAGATGGTGACCAGAGGGTAATGGTCAGATTTGATCAGAGGTTCAGAGACTGGGAGAAGTAGAATTCCTGGGCAGCAAGGGTTTGGGACATTGAGAATGTCAACACAAGCAAAAGTGTCAAACTATGTTTCTGGGTTTGAGTCAGAAACCCTAAAACGTTATGACTTTATTTCCATCATGGCTGCCATAAACTTTTACACAATGGCCATAGTGGGTGCCATGGCAGATGCTGCCATAAAATGCCAAAAAAACAGATGGGGAATGGCGATTTCTTCCCAAACCATTCTGTCATTCCGTTATAACTTTTATCAAAGAGGAATTGGAGAGAATTCATAACCACAACATATGTTCCATTGGGATATCAATCAGTGGGGTAACCCATTGAGTGGTTTCAGGATCTTACTAGCAAAATGAAAATGATTGATATCCATTTGATAGCTTGGTTGAGAGTAATTATAAGTATAATTATAAGGGGTACTATTTTAGACTGATTAGTCCTTTTATTTGATTTTCCTTTTTTAGAAGATTTATTTTTCTAGGACAGTTTTATTTACTGTAATTTAGCTCTATCTAGGAAAGTAATTAATAGTTATTTGCAGAAGCTTATATGATTAGGGTTCGTGTGTACAATTATTCTTCAGGAAAACAATAATTAAAATCTGTCTGTCATCAAATATTTGATTTTAATTTATCTGTTGGTCAATTCTTTTTCTTTTCATCTTGCTTGTTGGTTTACTCTTGTTGATGCTCCAAGGGATTTTCATGCTCTATTGATTTTCTTTGGTATATTTTTCTAAGCATCTCTTCTGCCTCGATATTATTTTTATAAGAAATATTGGCTACTCTTATACTCATTTGTCTATGCTTTATTCTTGAAATATCGCCAAAATTTTGTATTTGACAAGAGTGAATTGTAATATCTTTATCTTCCCTGCCGCTCTACTCAGTTCTGGGTTTATTACTCATGATGTTTAATGTATCCAGCCTTCATTGGAGCTTGATCATTATTTGTATCCCAGACAAAGAAGATGAATCGGGGCCAATCATACTTCATTTGGATTCTTTGGGTCTTCACTCTAGTAAATCAGTTTTTGATAATATTAAAAGGTGAGACGGAAGAAGTTCTTGTATAATTGTATCTCTTATGTGAATTTTAACTGGAATTCTTTTTGATGAATTTTCCACTTATATATTAAAGATACCTTCCCAGTCAGTAGTCACAAGATGATGGGTTTAATAATTTTGTTTTTTTGGGATGAGGGAGGGTTGAAGACGTTGCAAAATTCTTCTTGATAAGTATAATTTTTTATGACATAAAGCACTGTGAAACTTGATAATGTAGCCACTTGTATTCCCATTGATAGTCTGTTCCAGTTATGTACATGTTCTTACATATTAGTAAGAACTGCTCTGAAAAATCACTAGGTTGATCCAGTTCAGTTCTTACAAGTTTGCTTTGTTACTTCACTTATCATACTATATATGTCCTGATTGGTTTTTTCTAGGCATTTGTCTTCCATTTAAACATCAAACTTAATGATTTGTAATTATGCTGTGTAGCTATTTAATTGAAGAAAAGAACTATATGGATCGTGAAGGTGCGTCTTCAGATGTTTCAATTGCAAACAGAATATGGAAGTGCCTTTCTCGAAGAATTGAATCTCAAATCATTGCGGTAAATGTGTGCTCTAAATATGAAATCATGTGCTAACGTAGTTGATACTATCTTTGATTGTTTGAAGACAATATATCATACTTTCACCCTTTGTTCTTAAGAAACGAATTGTAATATCTGTGCATACATCCAACTTTTTTCTGTCCATAATGAATTAGATTAGTGTTAGAGTTCTTGAGACTTTTGCTGAGTAATCACAGTTGAAGAAATGAGATTCTTATTTGGAACCTCAAGTGAACAGCCAGAGAAAACAATGCTCAAAGTTAATAGAAAAAACACTTTTTACCTTCACATGAAAAGAGAATGAAATTTGTTTCAAGATTACAATATGGTGACTGTGTCCAGCTTATTGTAGCTTGTAGCGAGACTTTTTCTGAAGTTTCAAAATTGTGGGATGTCCACTAATATTTCATCATAATTGAATTTACATATGCACCAGGTTCCCCAACAGAAGAATGAGTATGACTGTGGTCTTTTTGTGTTGTACTTCATTGAGCGTTTCGTGGAGGAGGCACCTCCAAGACTAAAAAGAAATGATTTAGATATGGTAACATACCTGTACCTGCTTTATAGGATATGATTTCATTTCAAGTAATTGGTTGTTTTATTGGCTGATAAGTGTCAATTTACAGTTTGGAAAGAGATGGTTCAAACCTGAAGAGGCGTCCAATTTGAGAGTTAAAATCCGTACATTGCTTGTAGAGAAATTTCAGAATTCAATCAAGAATAAGTGTATTTCAGAATCTTCATCTGCTAGCTGTGCAAATGATTGTGTTGAGACCGTCGAGGATTCTTTGACCTAATGCCTGCATGAATTGCAATCCTCATTTTCTTGAACGAAAACTCTGTTGATATTATAGGTGGTGCATTGTTTTTTTTTTTTTTTTCTTGTACAGATTTCAGCTTTTAAGCTGATAGATTTTGAAGGTAGAGTTTCCCAAGGCCTGGTACATAGTCTTTAATACGAAGAAAGGGTAGCTGACAGTGTGCTACGAGCAAATGAGAATCTACTTGTCTTGCTGCTAACCATTTCATGTGGGTTACAAGTTTTTTCCAAATGTATAGTAGGAAACAGTACAAAGCTGACTACTAGAGTAATAGCCGTCAAATCTATCCGTTATTCTGCACCTGAATAATTTTTATAATTTCAATGGGAACTGTTTTAATGCCAACTTTATATAGTTTGAGGGTCACTTTTTTTTTTTTTTTTTTTTTTTTTTTTTTTTTTTTT